ATGAAAACACTCAACAAAATAGGATTAGAGAGGAATTTCTTCAGCATAGTAAAAAGTATTTATGGAAACCCAAGAGCCAACATCATTCTCAACGGAGAGAGGTTAAAGGCATTCCCTTTAAGAACAGGAACTAGGCAAGGATGCCCACTCTCACCTCTCTTATTCAATATTGTTTTGGAAGTCTTAGCGAGAGCATTAAGAGAAGAGAAGGAAATAAGAGGTACCCAAATTGTCAAAGAGGAGGTAAAATTATCTCTCTATGTATATATATATATACATACATGTTGTTGATTGCTGTTGAGTCGAGCCCAACTCATAGTGACCCTATGAACAAAAGACCTGAACCCTTTTCTATAACTATTGTTTGTATAGATATATGTTTGGATCCAGGGGGCCCGGGCTTGGGCTTGAGAGTCTGTATCTGTAATTATTTCCTGTTGATGTCTATGCTGCTGGCCTGTGGAATAAGATGAGCAATATTTGACTGGCAGCAGCTGTATCACTACCATTCTGTGGCCCAAGCCCAGACTTAATGAATGAGAAGCTATGGGATGAAGTCTAGCAATTTGTGCTTAAACAAGCCCCCCAGATGATCCTGATGAGAGCTCAAGTTTAATAATCACTGTCGCAGAGGAAAAAAAGCTCAAGAATTAGCATCAGGTACACTTAAGTTTGGAATGTTCCCCTGCCACCTAACCACTTAACACATTATCTGCCCTTTAGTTCTCCATACTTGCACTTCCTAGTCCTTAAAACAGAATGTTGACCTTTTAGTCAGAATCATAGATGACAGGTTTTCAGAGTCTGTTAGTTGCGGGAGGAGATTGCTCATCTTTCTTCTGCAAAGCAGCCAGTGGATTCGAACCTCAAGCCTTTGGGTTGGCAGCACAATTCCTTACCGCTAAGCCACCAGAATCGGATTATCCAAAGAAGTAAAGCAAGCATACACTGATTTACTAATCTGTTGTAAATGATTTCACATTTTTCACCGTATCAAAGATTGTGCTTCCAGGCACAATATGACATCTGTCTGTGCTCTAACCCCAGGGCATTTTCCTACAGAATGAAAGCATCTTCAAAGGGTGGATTATCCAGGAAGCAAGGCAGGCATGGGTTCACCTGTGTTTATCTGCTAATCTGCACTGAACTGTTTCACATGTTTTTCACTACAGATTACTAAGTAAGGAAAAGCAAACCTGTGCTTACCTTCAAATTTGCTCAGTGAGTAATCCTTTTCTGCTTTAAATGGAAGCCTGGAAGATAGTATCTTTAGCAGACTGTTGTAAAGATATAAAACTATAGATGCTTATCCCTTCTCCCAGCCAGATCACTCTTTTTCTCTGATGACAAAGACTTTCTTGTCTTGGGAACCCCAAATGGAGCCATTTTATTTCATTAATTTTTCCTTACTGCAAAGGTGCAAGATTCTGTCGGAGGAAAAGTGAACACATCTTCTGTTGCCTCGGCCGCCATTCGTAATGCAAAGTCATCCCCGTTTGGGTTCCATCTCTTCCCATCAGCAGTAAACTTTGGAGTTCTTAGAGAAGGATATACCTATGCAGTCAGCGTAAAACTCAAGAACATTGGTGTGGATTTCTGCAGGTGAGGCCTAGGCCCCAGAAGTCTCCTCAGATAACCTTCCCCCATTCCATGGGACTTGTCTGTGGGCACTTAAATCAATGAATGTTTATTGAACAAAATTATAATCATGTCTTACATTTTTAATCTTTGCATTATTCAGTAGTTTATCCACTACTGTATCCATTAATTGATTCACTTTTCAGCAAACTGGTATATGCTAAACTCCTCCTTTGACTTCTCACTAATCATTGTTCATACTTTGGTGGAAGCAGCACAAGGCCTGATATACACTTGCAAAAAATGAAGAGGAAATTCTATAAGTATTATCATAACTAAAGTACAGAACTTGGAAATCTGTTTCTCATATCTATCACTAACTAGAAAGCTGGCAATTATTTGCACTTTATGATCTAAAAAATGTCTTTAATTACGTTAAGTCCACTGCCATTGAGTTGATTGACTCAGAACCACTCTATAGGACAGAATAGAATGTCCCTTAGGTTTTCCAAGTTTTCACATCTTTACAGAAGCAGACTATCTCTCTTTTTCTCTCTCAGAGAGACTGATGGATTAAACTGACAAATCATAGCCTAGCAGCCAAGTAAGAGATCCCCTCTGTTATTATGACTGTGTGTTTACCACTTTTGGCTGGGATTGCAATCCTTTCCATGGATTATGGCCAGTCTTCAACCAAGACCATTCTCAGTTACAATAGCTTCTTCTCTGTCCTATTTTGAGGGGCTCTTGCAGCACAGTGATAAGAGTGCTTGGCTGCTAACCAAAAAGTCCACAGTTCAAACGCACCACCCCTGCAAGGGAGAAATGTGGCAATCTGTTTCCATAAAGATTTACAGCTTTGGAAACCCTGTTGGTCAGTTCTACTCTGTCCTACAGCATAACTATGCGTTAGAATCGCCTGATCACCATGGGTTGGGTTTGTTTTGATCCTACTTTGAATTAAGTATATGCATAATGTAGAATTTTTTTGGCTTTGTTTCATTTTTGTTATACAAATGAAATGTCTGAGTTATTCTCAGTATAAGGTGCATGTTCTTAAGATTTTGATTCTGATTCTGGATTCAAAAATGAAAATTAAATGGAACAAACAAAAGTTTGATGCTTCCAGTTTAAAAGATCACTGCCCCATTTCGGCTGAGGTAAACCCCCTCCCCAGCTTGAGGAGTGGTGTTTGCTTTCTCAGAAACTGGTCTGCTTAAGAACTTGGTCCACTAGATCTGACCATAGTTTTTAATATTGTTGCCAACAAAGTGGGTGGGAGAAAGAGATTGTCAATTTCACACCAATAAAAGCCATCCATGTACATCACAGTATAGAAGTTTCGGAGATTTCATTCTGTCACTTGTTAAATTCAGCGACTACAGGGCAGACAGCAGAGATGAAGGTAGTCGGAGTGGGGCTGAGGGTCAGAGTGGAGGTAGGGCTTTCCTTGGCATTTTAATTCACTCCAGGTCTTTAACCTTCAGGCAGAACCCACAAACCACAGGAAAGGAAAGAGATCAATAAGCACCATGTGTGAGCACAGAGCTTTTCAGTTCTCCAACATTTTTTGAGCCCTGTTTCTCCTCTTCCCAAACATGCAAGCCCCATACTAAGACAGAGTAAGGCTGGCTCCCATGCTCCACTGCTTTCCAAAGGAGCCTTTATTCTTCAGTTTAATGATCTGGCAGCCAACATTTGCGTTCATGCTGACTGCTCTGCTGAAATGCACACACTCATCAAACCCTGGCAACACCCTGTCCAGGCCCAAGCTGCTCGTCAGCCGTCAGTAACAAAGGATTAAGACTTAGGTTGGAGTCACTTTTACTCTGATGAAAACTATTGGAAAGGCAGTTGTGACATGGGTTCAAGACTCATCTCCAAAATGAATAAACAGGCTGTTTCCCTAGCAGTATGGAGCCTCTGTCCTTAGGTAATAAAGATAATACCTTTTAATGGTGCCTACTTCATTCATTGCTATGCTTTGTGCCATGGAATAAATTCATTTCTGTCTTTTTGCCTGTTAGGTTCAGAGTGAAGCAACCACCACTTAGCACGGGAATCAAAGTGACATATAAACCTGGGCCCGTAAGTCCTATGTGTTTCATTCTCTCTCTCTGTGTGTGTGTGTGTGTGTGTGTGTGTGTGTGTCCATGTGTCCATCCATCCAGTGAAGTAGATCTTTATTGTACCTATTCCATTTAAATCATGTTCTGTTGGTTTTGTGTGCTTTTGCATTGCTTCTCACTCACAGTGACCATATGGCACAGAGCAGAATGTTGCAAAGGATTTCCTAGACTGTAGGAGTTGCACTACCAACTCAGGAACATGGGGTTCTGCTGGAGAAAGATGGGGAGCCTCCTCCCATGTGATTTGCAGCATCTGAGAATCTGCTGGAGGATCAGCTAGGAGTCAGTTCCAGCTCAACGACACACAACAACAACAATAACAAGAATCTTTGCAGAACCAAATTGTTAGATCTTTTCTCTTACAGAACAGCTGGTGGGTTGGAATCACCTATCTTTTGGTTTGCAGCTGAGCACTTAAGTGTTGCACTACCAAAGCTACTTAAAGCATATAAAAGTAAGATTGTTCTGGTAGCGTAAACAAAAGCTTTCCAGTGTAGAAGACTGATATTTGGTATTGGTAAAGATGTGTTGGTAATTTTGTGAGCAATAAAATTTTTATAGCCATAACAGTTATTTTAATAGTTTCATAATTTTTTATAAAATTAAAATAGTCATTGTAGTAGTTTTAATAGTTTAATAGTCCTATTATAATCCTGTGACAGATCTAGTATGTTAATTGAGCTGAAAGTTGATTACATTTCTTAAGTTCACCTCACCTGTCACTATATAATGTTCTGTTGTGTGAAAACTTCCTTTTTAAAATTTGAATATGCTCTAGCATACACCTAGAAAATTGGTTACTTAAAGGTACTCTAATAAGTCACCCTGAAAAATTAAAAGTCCTTTTGAAAAACTATTTAACTCTTTATTTTATGTAAATTTGGTTTTCTCTCTTACAATTTGCTGTTGTTGTTGCTATATGCCACTGAGTTGCCTGAGACTCATATTGACCCTATGTACAACAGCCCTAAACCCTGCTCTATCCTGTGCCAATCTCACCGTCTCTGACACACCTACAGCCATTACCCCAGCCACTAAATCAATCCATCTCATCGAGGGTCTTCCTCTCCTGTGCTGTCCCTCCAACCTCCCAAGCATAAATTCCCTCTCCAAGGACTGGTCCCTCCTTGGATCATGTCCAAAGCATGTCAGACGAAGCTTCAGAATCCTTGCCTCCAAGGAGCAGCCTGCCTTCACCCTCTCCAGAACAAATCTGTTCATTTTCTTAGCAGTCCATGGTATATTCAATACTTTTCTCCAACACCACAGTTGAAAGGCATCAATTCTCCCTCTATCATCCCTAGTCATTGTCCAGCTGTCTGATGCATAGCAAGTGATTGCCAAGACCATAGCCTGTATCAGGTGAACATTAGTCTCCAGACTGACATTATTGCTTTTCAGTACTTTATGGAGGTCTCTAACCGCAGACTTTCCCATTGTAGTACATCTTTTCATTTCCTGGCTATGGTGCCAAGAGTGTTGACTGTGGAGCCAAGCAAACTAAAACTGTGAACAATCTCAATCTCTTTGCCATCCATCATGATGCTGCCAATCAGCCCAGTGGTGAGAATCTTTGATTTCTTGGTATTGAGCCTCAATCCATACTGAAGACTGCAGTCCCTGATCTTCCACAGCAAGTGCTTCAGGTCCTCCTCAGTTTCAGCAAGTAGGGTTCTGTCATCTGCATAATGCCAATTGTTGATGAGTCTTCCTCCAATCTTGATGCCATATTTCTCTTCATAGAGCCCAGCCTCCTGGATAATCTGTTTTGCATGAAGATTGAAAAGGTATGGAGATAGGACATATCCCTGGCATACACCCTTCCCAATTTTGAACCACACAGAGTTTCCTTGCTCTGTTCTGATGAATGCCTCTTGGTCCAAGTATAGGTTTCACATTAGCATGATCAAGTGGTCTGGGATTCCCATTCTTCTCAGAGTTAGCCACAGTTTGTTATGATCCACATAGGGAAAAAATAATTGTTTGTTACATTTATAGGCTGCCTCATTTCTCCACAGAGGCAGAATTTATTACATTTTTAAACTGTCTGTTTAACATAAGTAAAAATATTTTGGCCTGCTCTTATGTTACTGAGTACATTTCCAAAACTGAGATGTTTTCAGTCATCTGGGAGGCTGGGCTGTATGAAGGAGGAATGTGGCATCAGTGTTGGAGGAATATTCATCAATAGCAGATGACACAACCCTGCTTGCTGAAACTGAGGAGTGCATGAAGCGCTTATTGCAGAAGACCAGGGACAGCAGCCTTCAATATAGATTGAAGCTCAAAAAGAAAACAAAGATTCTCATGACTGGGCCCATTGACAGCATCATGATGGATGGTGAAGAGACTGAGATTGTTAACAGCTTTAATTTACTTGGCTCCACAATCAACACTCTTGGTACCAGAAGCCAGGAAGTCAAGAGACAAATTGCATTGGTAAAGTTGCCTGTCGGTGACCTCTCCAGAGTACTGAAAAGCAATGATGTCAGTCTGGAGACTAAGGACTGAAGACTGATCTAGGCCATAGTCTTTGTAGTTGCTTGCTATGCATCAGAAAGCTAGACAATGACTAAGGATGATAGAAGGCAAATTGATGCTTTTGAGCTGTGGTGCTGGACAAGAGTATTGAATATATCACAGACTGCCAGGAGATCAAACAAGTTCATCTTAGAGAGGGTGAAGCCGGCCTGCTACAAGGCAAGGATTCAGAAGCTTCGTCTGACTTACTTTGTGCATGTTGCAAGAAGGGACTGGTTCTTAGAGAGGAACATCATGCTTGGGAGAGTGGAAGGATGGAAAAAAGAGATGGAGACCATCAATGAGATAGATTGATATAGTGACTGGGATAATGAGGGTAGATGTGTCAGAGACAATAATGTTGGTACAGGATAGAGCAGGTGTCAGGGCTGTTGTGCATAGCATCACTATGAGTTGCAAGTGACTCAATGGGATACAACAACAACAACTTAAAAAAAGTATATTATTGATAGATCCCTACTTACTTTAAGTTATAATTTCAGAAATATAATCTAACATAAATGTTTATCAGACTTTTTATATTTTAAATAAAATATAAAATCAAGTAACTTAATATTCTGTGGCATATTCATAGTGCTACACACAGCTGCATAGCACTCAACAAACTGAATTCTTACTATATGTCAGTGACAGTTGCAAGGTGCAAGACACATAGAAGATAACAAAGCTGGGCACATAGTGGGTACTCAAGACATAAGGTGAGGAATCATGGTGGTTATATGGACCAATCATCATAGGTGGACATATTTTTAAGTGCCTGGGAAGACAGAGCAAGGGCATACAGCCCATCAGCAGCACACAGTGCTGAGTCTGATAAACTGAAGGCGGTCACAGTTGTTACACATTGATGGAGAAGGATTGGAATGATTTGATGTAATTTAAGTCAAGAAGGTTCTTGACATAATACCTCACAGCTCTGTGCTGATGGTTAATTTATCTTTTTAGTCATGTTTCCCTTAGTTGTAAAAACAAAACAAAACAAAAAAAAGAGCTTTGGACTAGGGCATCTTATCTTAAAAAAACAATAGTGTGCTGGCTGAAATGCCTAACAGAAATATATTTGGGATTACATTTACTAACACACTACAAATCTCTGAAATAATTCCTCGCTGTCAAGATTTCAACATCTTCACAACACAGAGTGGAAAATAAAGCTAGCCTCTCCTTCATCTGGGAAGGTGGCACATCTCATTTTATTTCACGTAGGGATTAGCCAAAATGACTGCTATGACTGCTGGATCACCCTTTATAGGTACTAAAAAACCAGCATGTTTTCTCTGAAGCTCATTCTATACTGTTAGTTTGGGGAGGTTGGGTGTAGGAGTGTCTTTATGATGATAGCTTTTGTCTTTGGCAAATATATAGTAAATAGCCTCTCCCAAATGTAAATCTAACCACTTTTCAGCTTGTTCAGTTTCCAAGGCTAAATGAACCCACTCAAAGACTGAGTTAAACCTGCCTGATGGCAACATTCCAGCTCTCATCACACAGGATTTCATCATTACTCAGGCCTTCTCCATTGTGGGATTGGAGAATGAAGGGTCTGAATCCCAGAAACAGAGCTGTTGGATGCCCTCCAGTGTACATATATTCACATGCACATTGTTCAAAAGTTGAAACACGTTTTGATTCTTTTATTTATAAAACTGTGTCAAAGAAGAAAAATTCCATTCCTATCTAATTGCTTTCCATGTGGTAGTTTCTGATTTACTAGTTCCAGATAACTCTCTCCAAGTTGGCTTTTTAACCTACCCTCTGCAAAGACCTAGAAACATAAACAACTCTCTCTTTCCTGGCTAGTTTTCATGTCAGCAAACAACGCAAAAAGCCCATGCCTTCCTGAGTTTCTTTCTCATTATAGTTCAGATTTTTTTTTCTTTGTTGGTAGAAACTTCTTCCATGTAACTTTCAGACTCTAAGTAGTCTGACATGGGGACAAGAGGCCCTTGGGGACAGCGAGAACGTGCTCCTGGGCGGAAGGGAAGCTTGGAAGTGGCACAAAGGGAAAGTCACCTCAGACAACAACGAAGAGGCATCTTTCAAAGGTACCCAGGAAAAACCGGCGGGAAGAGGCCCTTGGGGACAAGAGGCCCTTCGGGACAGCGAGAACGTGCTCCTGGGCGGAAGGGAAGCTTGGAAGTGGCGCACAGGGGAAAGTCACCTCAGACAATAATGAAGAGGCATCTTTCAAAGGTACCCAGGAAAACCGACGGGCCCTCAGAAAGGAAAACATAATCTACACAGGAGTTCTACAGGACACGTCACCTTCCCTTGGAGGCAGTACAACTAAATTTAAGAGACACTGGTCAAAAGGAAAAAATGTCAGCAGTCGATGTGTTTGGAATCACAGAAGCCAAGAAAGCTTAAGATACAAGCTGTCAGATCATGGGTTGGACAATGGAA